CATCCATACATGTAATATGTCATGTTACATACTACATGTTGTATGTCTGTGTGAAAAAGGCCTAAAATTCTATTTAATTTGGTTTACAAAAGGAGTGCTCATACAAATCAGTTTAAATACTTTTCAAGTTCACATAACTTTAGTAAATAAGCTGGCTTCAAATATAATGGGAGAAAAAAGATTAATAAGTGAAAGTCTTCATAATTTCCAACATATATTTTGTCCAGGTTTTTATTAATCAAGCAACATCATATTTATCTTAATATGGTTGGTTTAATGAAACAGCTAGTATTTATGTGCTGTGTGTTGCATTTTGCATAGTGGATATCTAATAGGAAAATAAATCATGACTAACTTTTTCTGGCTTTAGTTTTAGTGCTAACAGAGGATCTTTGACTTCAAAGAAACTCTTGGATGTTTACAAAGGGCCCTTGAGACACCCAAAAGGGAAATGTTAAACTGATCAGGCCTATTTTTCATATGTTGGATAAAAATGGAAAGCATTGTTGAATTAAGTAATTCTAATTTTATTGGCATTATATTTGAGTTATATGTATAAATATGCTATGTACTTGTATGTATATGTGTGTGTGTGTGTGTGTGTGTGTGTGTGTGTGTGTGTGTGTATTAGTGTTCCAAAGTAATTTGAGATTCTCAGGAATTTATGGTAGGCTATTATGTTAGATTGGTGTATATATAGCCAAAATTCTTTGTCAGTTATGAATTTTTGTTAGAGCATTAACTATGGCTATAATCCTAATATTATGTCCTTAAGAAATTCACAAAGAGAATGGAAAGAGAATGTACTCTTACAAGTACAGGGTCCTAAAAAAAGTCTAATCATTTAACAGGGTAAAATCTTCATTTTTCTATATAAATTGATTGTTTTTCTAAACTGTTAAGCCAAAATTAACCAAATAAAAGTCAGAAAATGTTTGACAAAATTGCATGCGAAATAGCCAACACAACGCACTTGAGTTAAAGAGGTAAAATTGGTATAAAGGGATATAAATCCAATGTTAAACATGGACTCATGGAAACATTATTGCCTGGTTCCCTCTGAGTCCTCCTTATAATTCTTGTTGTTAAGTTAACATGCTTTAGTTATTCTTACTAATGTCTTTAAATTTTATAAGAAATATTAGTAAGATTGTTCAGTTTTACATTGAAAAGGTTGTTAAACAGATTTTATTATTGTTTGTACATGTTCATAAGCTGCTGGTGTGTGCTAAAATTTAGGGTTGCTGAAAATCAAAAAAATTGATCAATATAGATGTATGAAATTCTATGTTTACAAGCTTAATGGCTCCTCTAAAAACATCAAATTTCCTAAAGTGAAAGAGGAAATGATAAACATGGGCGGTATTAAAAATTGGGCCTCTCTCTACATATATATCTGGGACAAAAGCTAGAAAACTCCTAACATCTTAATAGGGTAAGAGTTTCAAGGAATGGGTGAGGCAAGTTAAGGTTAGAGCTCTAGGCTGCCTTCTCCCCCAACCCCTTGCCTTCTTGTACTCCTTCTGTTTCTTTTAGGTAGGCCTCTTCTACACTGGACTCTCCCCTTAGTTAAGTGATTCTAGATAGCTAGGAAAACAAGAATTTAGATTAAGATTGTATTCTCCAGCTAGGGCTTTTGTATAGGCAATAATTCAGATGCCTTGTAAAACCTGTAAACTGGGCTTCACTCTCCTGGCAGTACTTAGCTGCTCCTTGAAGGGTCTATTAAAACTTAGGTTCACTTCTCAGTGTAGGACAATTCAGAACAGATAATCAGAAAAGTTCCCAAATAACTCAGAGAAGTGTTATAACAAAATTGGCAAGGCACATTAACCTTTGATTTAACTCTCACTTTAAAGGCACCCAGTGGTGCCTTCCTTTTGGCCAGAACTGCCATCTTCCAGTAATTAACCAAAATGACGAACAGAAAGGGAGAGGAGAGGTACCCTATATATGTTCTCTAGGCCTTTTAGAAAACATGGAGTTGTTCCTTTGGCAACATATATGCGAATCTACAAGAAAGGTGATACTGTAGACATTAAGGGAATGGGTACTGTTCAAAAAAGGGATGCCCCACAAATGTTACCATGGCAAAACTGAAAGAGTCTACAATGTTACCCAGCATCCTGTTGGCATTGTTGTGAACAAACAAGTTAAGGGCAAGATTCTTGCCAAGAGAATTAATGTGCGTATTGAGCATATTAAGCATTCTAAGAGCAGAGATAGCTTCCTAAAACACGTGAAGGAAAATGACCAGAAAAAGCAAGAAGCCAAAGAGAAAGGTACCTGGGTTCAAATAAAGTGCCAGCCTGCTCCACCCAGAGAAGCACACCTTGTGAGAACCAATGGAAAGGAGCTACTGGTACCTATTCCCTTTGAATTAATGGTATGATGGATGTTAAAAAAAAAAAAACTGATCTGTGGTCTATAAACATGTTTGCCTTAATTGAGTAGAATTATGTTTCCTCCCCAAAGCTAATTTTTATTGAGCTCTAATTCATTTTGTAGTATCTATATTCAAATTTAGTATTTTTTCACCTGAAAGATGTTAGGTGGTTTGGTTTATACAACAAATAAAACTCAGTTGGTAGAAAACTGTCAAAAAAAAAAAAAAAAAAAAGGCACCCAGTAGTCACTCATGGTAATCCTGAAGGCTGGGAACTTCTCTGAGGGCAGAATCTGGAAACAGCCCAGATCAGAGCCTCTGCTTCAGAAGAAACTCTGTTTCCAATGAGGGCAGCCTGGGCAAACAATGCCATGACCAGTCATGGGCATCCTCGTGTCCCCCATGGGGCCTGGTCCCCAGTGTGGAGGTGGTCCCTAGAGACAGAATGCACTGAGCTCTGAAGGGAGCTCGGGACTTCTAAAGTCCGTGCTAGCCTTTGAAATTGAAGATTGATGGGACCCAAGACAGCTCCCTCGGACATCTGATGATTTCACTGGACAAGCCTCGGGTAATCCCTACAGTGACTAAGATTAATTTCTGTCTAAATCAGAGGTTAAGGTTGTTTCCAAAAGTACACATAAAAAATAATAAGAAAAAATAATAAACAGGTTGACTGACCTATGGCAAAAGAGGAAACTGTAAAACCTAGCCAGAGGGGAGACATCTCTACTAGCAGCTAAAAGTTCTTGTAGCTGCCCCAGACTCTGTCCTCCCATTGTTGCCCTTCTACACTCAGGAGGAGGAAAAATTGGCCCACAAACAGTAGGCTTTGGAGGATCCGAAGAATGCTTGCTGTTACCAGATGGCAGGCCAATAGTCCCCAGGACCCTTGAATGAGTCATCATAGATCAGGTACACCAGACTACCCACCTGAGAAAAACAAAGCTTGCTAAGTTGGTTAGGAAAAAATACTTTGTGCCTAGGCTAGATAGCCTTATCAATGGTGTAATTTCAACACGCGCTGCTTGCACACAGGTAAATCCTAAACATTGGCTCAAGCCTGTCTGACCAGACACTCACACACGAGCAACTGTGCCCAGCAACTGGAGACCATGAAATCAGCCCAAGTCAGTTCAACTGAACTTTAAATTCAGTGAAACTTTGTACCCTCCAAATCATTGATTCCTCTGTATCAGAGCACACCCTGCCCTCCAGCTGATACAGAGGAATCAATGATTTGATCCCCATAAAAGAGAAGTGGGGAATGAAGCAGTGAAGCAGAGCACCTCCATTTTGAACTCCTCTCTACATTGGAAACTTGCTTTCTCCTGTTGCCTAGAGTGAACAGAGTGATTAATGCTCCAACTGTCTTTGCTAAATAACCCCCAAACTCCCTACCCTAAGATGTTCCTTAATGATGTAATCATCAGTCTCCAGACCCCTTGCCCTGAGTCATGAAGACCATTAAGATTCAATTGTGTTTAAGCAAAGGCCTAGAGATTAACCTGTTTGATCTGGCTTCTGTAACCCCTTAGGCATAGGAATTGCCACTCCTTCCCCTTGTCACCTCCCCCTCCTCGACAATTACTGCTCCTGCCACGTCAACTCAAATGCAATTATTGCCTTTACAAGTCCCCTTCTCCCTACACTAGGGGCTGTGGGGTTTTGAGAGACATGATCCCCCCTCCCTCCCAGCTGCTGACTTTATCAATAAAACCCCAATAAGCTGTGTCTGGCTGTCCTCTTATTTTTTTTTGCTGATTACACTGTAACAGTACAGAGCAATATGGAAAATACCATGTTTTATGACTGTTGTTTGTCACTGCAGATGCAGAATCAATAAGTGTCTTTGATGAATGCCAGATGCAAATAAAATCTAGGGCTCCTGGCATGTGTCCTTCTGCAATCAGTCTTCTCCATCCCTCCTGGACAGCTACCTGAGTCACACATGTCTTTAAGAACTTGCCTGTTATGAATGTCTTGTGAAGATGCCAATGTTAGAATAATTCATTTTTCTCATGAAATACCTTTAGTTTTACTTCCATATCCCTATGTTTAATGTAAGGTATTTACCATGATGAGAGTTTCTTGGCCACTCTATAGCAAGAATCATCCAGATTGAAAAAAGTTCCAGAATCTACTTTTGGCTTTTGGTTTCTTTGGAATTAAAACATTTAGAGCATCTCTTTTTCACTCTTTCTCTTGAAGGGCCCCCAGTACTTTCCTTCATTCCTTTGTTGAAAAACCTTAAGCTTCACAAGCCCTAACCAAGTAGCATGAGCTCTACCACCTAAGAGTGAACAACTTATTAGACATTCATGGACAAGGGAGCAAGTACCCTGCTGCCTCTTGAGTTCTAGTGCAGGATAGGCATCGTGCCTCTGTAGGTTTGAGGGAGCTGGGGTCCTGAGGCCAGTTTTGCTCAGCTCACCAAGCTGTGCACCCACAGGGCTGTCACCATCCAGAGGGTGCAGTTTTTGACTAGAGCCCAGGCATTGTAGGGACTAATTGTGCCCTTGCGGAGGCCTTCTCAGGAATGAAGACCATTCTCTGCCAGTTTCATGGTGTGGCCCTACAGCAGGCTGAAGACCTCACAAACTTTGCAAGGACTTACTGAGTGTGACTGAGTCATTGATCTTGAAGCTGCAGAGGACCCTGTCCACGTTGCGGGCGTGTCGGAAGCCATTTCCTCTCACAACAACTTGAAATGACTCTGAAATGAAGAATGAGGACAAAAGAAGTTATCTGACCCTTAACTGTAAGCTTCCCATCTGCCCCAATTTAGAGCATTTAACCATTTCATCAGGTTTAAAATATTCATGAATTAGTTCAGTTTGAAGCCCAAAGGGACTACATATGTTCCTTTTACCACTTACCATCACATTCTCACTAGGTGTTCATGATAAGTTATGCTTCTGCTTGCCTTTGCTGAACTCAATCGGTGCTCCTACTCGGGATGCCTCCTCCCTCCTCTGTCCATTCCAAGCTCACCCATTTTTCAAAGTCCACCCAGCGTTTTTTTTAAAGTTTACTCTCTCTCTCTCTATCTATATAAGATATTATGTTGTATAATATATCTATTATATAATTATGAGAGAGAGAGAGAGAGAGAGAGAGAGAGAGGAGAGAGAGAGAGAATGTATGAGAGAGAGAAGTATCCTCAGCAGGATCTCATCATGCCTAGCTCTCCTCTTCCTGGTCCTCCAGCTTATCAGGATCTGGGATGCCCTATCTTACTCTTGATGTATTTTCAGGCCAACAAGGGATCTGAACCTTGGAGGATCGCCATGTGGCTTCCAGCCCTTCAGTTTAGGTGAGGCCAAGTTCAGGCAGTTTTAAAACTCTGATCTCTATAGCCAGAGGGCACCAATGAAGAGGGGCTCTCCATTTCCACTTTAATCATTTCAGCCTCTCTAGTGTCTGTTTTACATATTGAACTTCCCTCAGAGGATTTCTTTTAGGGCCCAAGATGCCTAGTTTTTTTTAAAAACCACTGTCTTACGGGCTATTAATGTCATACCAAACAAGTAGCATGCGATTACATACTGTCTGGTGTTTTTTGTTTTTATCTATTCCAGCTAGAAAAAACATTTGTTCAGGCCAGGAGTTGTAGTGCCGTAGCACTCCTATCTCGGGGGGGGGGGGCACATTATGGTAATACATAGGTTTATGTAGGAGTAGTTGTACTTAATAATGACTCAAAGTCTTGCTTATTAGTGGTCAGTTGTCCAGCATTACCAGTTTGAACTAACATTGACTCCTCATTTTTCTTTGAATAAAAGAGAAACAAAATCTTGCAGTCTTGCATTTTAATTTCACATTGGTGCAATGTAGGTTCCATTAACACATAAACAAAATCCTTATAGAGTAAACACAACTATTCTTTTTTTTTGGAGAGGTTTTCGCTATAGAGTGCGATTACATACTGTCTGGTGTTTTTTGTTTTTATCTATTCCAGCTAGAAAAAACATTTGTTCAGGCCAGGAGTTGTAGTGCCGTAGCACTCCTATCTCTGGGGGGGGGGGCACATTATGGTAATACATAGGTTTATGTAGGAGTAGTTGTACTTAATAATGACTCAAAGTCTTGCTTATTAGTGGTCAGTTGTCCAGCATTACCAGTTTGAACTAACATTGACTCCTCATTTTTCTTTGAATAAAAGAGAAACAAAATCTTGCAGTCTTGCATTTTAATTTCACATTGGTGCAATGTAGGTTCCATTAACACATAAACAAAATCCTTATAGAGTAAACACAACTATTCTTTTTTTTTGGAGAGGTTTTCGCTATAGAGTGCGTGCGCTTGCCAGACAGACAGAGAGAGACATAGAGACAGAAAGCGAGAAATAACCTCCCAAGGGGGATGGTCACGCCGCAATCCCTTCTCCTCCATTCTCCTCTCGGGATCTTGGGCATGCATGCACACGCGCCCGGCCTGAGTTTTAAGTCACCGGGTCCGGGACGTGAACCGTGGTCGACTACCTGGGAGTCCAGTGACATAGCCATTACGCTAACTGCTGGTTCCTGACACAACTATTCTTTACAATAGTCCTACCAAGGAAGAAACCAATGAATTACTCAGCTAAATATTACGCACATAGTAATTCACTCTTTTTTGTGGTTTTATGGTTTCATTTACCTATGGTCTGATACTTGGGAACAGAGAAAGAGAGACCATAGTCATATAACCTTTATTAAAGTATATTGTTGTAATTATTCAATTTTATTTTTAGCTATTATTCATATCTTACTGTACCTAAGTTACAAATTAAGCTTTATCATAGGTATGTGCATATAAGAAACAACATATTATACAGAGGGTTTAGTACTAGCAATAGTTTCAGGCATCCACTGGGAGTTTTGTAACTTATCCCCTTGGAAAAGGGCAGACTGCCATATTTGCTCGAGTTTGATGGTATTTAATAGACAATGTTGCATTTTCTTTCACTTTTTTATTTTTTGTGTATAAAAATTAGAGCTTATGATAATGCTATGTGGTATTTAAAAAGAGAAATAGACTAAAAATTGGAGAGAAAAAAATGAGCATTTGTGACAGTGGATCTTAAACTGTAAGTTGTTATCCAAGTGGAGACTTTGTGTTGGAGAAAGAATAGAATTAGAGAAGTAGCATATGGGATTTTTTCAAGGCTTAATTAATGTCACGAGTATATCACTTCCATTCTCAGGAAACTAATTTAGAAGGCATGGTTTGACAAGATAATAATAACTGATGTTAATTGCACCCCTAGTGTGCCAGGCTCAGTGCCAAACATTGTACATGTCTGATGCCACTTAACTTCACCAGAGCCCAGGTGAGGAAACTAATCTGGTGAGGTTAAGTAATTTGTCCAGGATCAAACAGCTCATAGCTGTCACGTTCAGAACTGGAATTCGGATTGTGACAGGTTTGCCAGACACCAAATGCCATGCCCTTAGAATGCAGCCATTATGCTTTTAGCCACTATGCTATAATGAATACTCAATACCTTATGACAAACAAGTAATTTAGAAGTCAGGGTTATGATTTTTTAAAGCAAGTTTTATTTTAGCTTTTGGTGGATTTGCTCATTTTGCAGAAAGGGAAGCTAGCTAGATATGAAACAAGAAAATGAAATCTAAGTAAAAGAACCCAGTCATGTACCATGAGTAGTACAAATTAGAACTGAATGCATTTTAGAACTATAAAAGGCCTTACCAATAAGGAAAATGAGATTTCAATATCTTGATAACTTGTTCAGAGTCATGTAATTAGTAAGCAAGCAAAAATGGGACTCATATCCAAGAGTTCAGTGCCTTAGTTTTGAATTATATTAATTAAGACTATGGGTCATAAGCATATGGCTTCAGGACCATAAGTCCCATGAATGTATTTGTGCATGTTGATATATATATATATATAAATAATCATTGAGTTTAGAAAAATGGATTTAACAGTTTTCTTTTCCTTTTTCTTCGTTCTTTTTTCTTTCTTCTCTTTCTCTCTCTCTTCTTTCTTTCTCTCCTTTTCCTTTTTTCCCTTTCTTTGTCTCCTTCCTTTCTTTTTTCTTTTTCTTTCTTTCTTTCTCTTTCCTCTCTTCTCCCTCCCTCTCTCCCTCCCTCCTTCCTTCCTTTCTTTCTTTTCCTTCTTTCTTTCTTCTTTCATCTCTCTCTCTCTCTCTCTCCCCCTCCCTCCCTCCCTTCCTCCCTTTCTTCTTCTCTCTCTCTCTCTTTTTTTCCTTTCTTTGCCAGAGGATATATGTGTGTGAGAAAGAAAGAGAAGGAGAGAGAAAAAGCAGTCCTTAGCAGGGTCTGATAATGCTGTAATCCTTCTTCCTCCATTTCTCCATCCAGTCGGGATCCTAGGCATGGGCTCACATGCACTTAATGTGTTTTTCAAGCCGAAAAGGCTCGGGTTCAAAACATGATCTACCATGTGATACCTAGCTCCTTCCGTGCAGTACTTAGCCACTGAGCTATAGGGACAGCCCACTAATTGTTTCTTTATCTAAAAGAACAACATTTGTCTGCATGATTTGCCATGATCATGCATGATGAAGCGTTTTATTAAGTGTCAAATATTATGGGAGAATTTTATTGTATCTTATTTTCTCATTTAATTCTATTAATCATTATTTCTGTTTCCAGTGGAATACCAGACATGCAGAAATCTGTTTGATGTTTTGCCAATGCCAAGTGTTTTCTACCTCTTTGCAGTGCCCTCATCTCTTGTTTCCTCAAAGATTGAGAGAGGGAGGTTCTGGAAACCCAACTCACATGCCAAGCTCTCTTCTCCAACACCATGTTCTAGCATGACCGGCTCAGTTGCTGAATCCTCTATAAAAGAGGCTGCCCACATGTCTGCTTGGCTCGGCCTCAGGGAGTTAAGGAAGAAAGACAGCAGGAACCCTGATGTGGTAATGGTGAAACCAGACAACTTAACCCCCTGAGCCCTGGGAGAAGACAGGAAATGGGACTCTGGGAAGCACATGAGGGCAAGGCGAGCTCCCACCCTGCCTGGTGCAGCTTCTGTGTTAGTGCCTACATTTGATTTCTAGAGGAGCCAAACATCTGACCCGGCAGCCCAAACAGGATGTCAGCTCTTCACACATAGAAGTTATGTAACAAAAGGCTATTGAATAAATCCACCAACAAGTGAAAATCAGGATGCACCAGAACCAGAGTGATTCCCATTTATCCAAGAAGCCATCTTTTAAAATAGGTACAGCTAACCATTTTTAGGCAATTTGCACTCTGGGTTATAACTCCTGCAAGAAGTTCCTAGGGATTATATGGCTTGAAGTAGGAATTTCCACTTGAAAATGGTCTTTGATTAAATTTTTAAGATACATTTCATTTATGCTATCTTTCAGATGTATATTCATTATAATTCTTTTGTGACTTTCATTCTCAATTATAATTTAAGCTTCCTGAAAACAGAGGCCAATTCATTTCTTCTGAATGGTTGTCTGTGCCTAACCCAGGGTTGAGTTGGCCTTAGTATAAGCTCATTGACTCAATTAATAAATAATACATTTTGGCATAGAAAAAGAACAACCATGAAGGGCAAGGTGGTCATTTACTTAGGTGCCAGCCAGGTCTAGAACATTAACATCATTAATCATTATGGAAATGGAAATTAAAACCACAGTGAGATATTTATCACTTCATACCCACTAGGATGCTCTAATAAAAGAGGTGGACAGTATCAATTGTTGGTGAAGAAATTAGAACCCAC